TTGGCAAAGCTTATGTTTAACGTATTTTTTGTAGGTTTTTTTTTTTTTTTTTTCGTTTCCTTCTAATACGGCCTGCGTCACTCGCGAAGAACCGGTTGATTCGCCGACACGGCTGTTGGTTGGTGAGTGTGTACCTACTCATCGCGTCGAAATGTTTTGCCAAAGGGAGCAGCAGGCCGCGGTCGCTGGAAATCGCGTTGCTGGGTATAGAGTTGTTGCTGCAGCTGTTGTTTGCGCGAAACCATATATTTTTACGAGTCGGAAAACCAGCTCTGCTAGAGAAAAAAAAAAAAAAAAAGCTTTTTTTTCGCATTGAATTTCGAGTATTATTTCGCTTGCGACTCTTCGGTTAAAAATAGCACGCGCACATGTTTATTGTAATATGTGCGAGCAGTTCCAACAAAGAAAAAAAAAACTCTTTGGGGTCAATGAATTTGATTCGTCAATATTTTTGCATTCCAAGAGAAAAAAAAAGAGACAGCTTTTTTTGAGCTTTCTGACAAATAATTGGATTTAGAAAACTTTATTTTCTTGGTATAACCCAATCGACTCGACGAAATTTCGGATGAAGGAATAAATGGGTTGATGCCCCCCTCCTCCCCTCCTCCCCACTAAGATTAACACGAAAATTCCGTCTACAGGAAAAAATGTTGTTTACTTATTTTCAATCGAAATCGACGACTTTGATCAAGAATTTTTATGTTGAAACGCTCGTATGAATATAACTTTTTATCGAGTAGCCCAACGATTCATCTTCGCCATGGCGCATTACTAACAAGTGGAATCATCGCTCCGATACACCATATCGGTTGATCATACACATTATATCTATGGAAAGTCCAAAAAAAAGCTCCACTACCACGATATTGCGCAAACATACCGTATCATACAACGCTTCTATCGTACATTTTTCATTATTTTATACATTTGGCCGGGAAAAAGGTGCCATTTTTCGTCGATTGCGGAATAAAATGATCGACCTACAGCGCCGTCAAATTTTGCGGCTACAAAAAGTTGCAAAAGAATTGATAGGCTCTCCAGATGTGTCCGAGCATCGCTTATCCGTGGTATAAAAGCGAGTTGGGCCGCAAAAAGAGAGAGAGAGATACACCTGCGAGCTACAGCTGGTTTACCCATATACATGTATATACATATATAAAAATGAACAAAGAGAGAAGGAAAAAAGAGAAACACGAAGCACTTTGAAGGAAGCCAGTTTAAAAACTCGGCGTTGGCGGCGTCGGTAAGGATTCCGCAGGCCAAGTAGGTATATACACGGGGCAAGGCAAGGCAGGGGTCCCCCCTGGTGTTTGGGGGGGGGGCTCTTGGGTACTGCTGCCGGCGTCCCGCTCCTGCATCGTCGTGTTTTATATACATAGACACACACGCACACAGGCATGAGTATTGTATATTATACATGGGAAAGAGAGCGGCACGGCAGCAGAGCGGCCTGTGCGTATGGGTGCGGGGCACTGACGAGGCGAGAGGAGCCCCAGCCAGGCCGTGGTGCACAGCCCCCGAGGGGAGATATGAGGGAAATCGATACACGAGCGCGCGGTCGCTATAATATATGTATACAATACCGCACGGTTAAGTTTATACATCTGTATATACATATATGAATGCGTTATGTGTGGTGGACGACGAATGACGGTGCAGCGAGCGACATAATATATGCAGTAGTCGGTATGATTGTGACGACGGCGCTATTATAGTTGCGATATATGTTATACTGCATCCATATATAATTTTTATACCATAAGCACAGCATTTGTATATATATTTATATATATGTGTAAAATACGAGTGTGCGTATACATATAACGCACTAGCGGAGAGAGAAAAAGAGAAGGAGGTGTAAAGGCAGGGATGTATAACAATAAATAAAGCTGCCGAGAGAGAGAGAGAGAGAGGAGGAAGACCTATGCGGAGGAAAAGAGGAAACCTCCCTGCGCGTGCATACGTACAGGTATATAGCGAGAGAGAGAGAACCCCTAGCGGCTCCGAAACACCTCACGGACTTCCTTTCGGCCAAATGGCCACGACGCTGTACAATATATATTATACCTGATGCGTATACTTTTGGAGCACACATAGTATAGGTATACTTATACCCACTGTATGTAAACCACATGTACATGATTTTTGCATGAGGATATAAATATATTGTGCCTCGGTGCACCCCAAATGACATACGTATCATGTCAATAAAATACGACAAGGCGATCTTATAAATATACTGTCCAAAAAATTTACAGGAATGGCTTGTTGCTGTTGTTTTAACGCGCGTTTTATTACTTGAGTTCATGGACTATTTTTTAACAGACGAGTTGTTGCCTATAAACTTTGATCAAAACCCATACCGATCAAGGACTTTGAAGCGCAAGAATTGCGGTGTACATACAATTACCTTCAATGGTCATGTGCAACGTTTTGCAAGAATATATAATTGGCTCGAGTTTTGTTGGAAAACGTTTTTAAAGGGGTAGTCTCGATAAAATCGAATATCTCCATGACGGACCACCACACGGGCTCTTGAACGACAACCGAAAGCTCGCGTTGATTTTATTGCACATCGGCAAAATTGCCAATGTATACTAAACATTTTTCCGTGATGTTTTCTTCATTTTTTTGTTTATATAATTGATGTATGGATTCAGCTTCTTTTCACCTTCCACATAGTATACGCTTCGATGTGATAAACAAAATTTTAGAAACGTTGTTTCGTATTCCGAACTTTTTTTTTTTTTTTTTTTTTTTTTTTTAATCGATTTATCCCCAAAACGTCTCAATTTTATCCAAAAACGAAGAGTCCGCAAAATTCATTTTCCGGGACACCACAGTGTACATGTATATATTCGTGTACGCATATACCGTCTACGTATGAATTACAGTTGAATTTAACAGGTTTCACCGGCTCTGACCGTTACAACGCGCGCAAGAAGCTTCTAACTGTCAAGATAACGGAAGAACCTATTTGAATTACAATCGGTCTTCAATTATTATTATTATTACTATTAATATTGTTATTCGTTATACGTAGTCGTTTATTAACAACTAATTACTATTGAATTACTACTATGTATACCATTCAACACAAGAACGTTCAGTTTGCGCGTATACGCGTTTTACTCGAATCGGTATTCCAATGGTATTCAAAAAATTTTTTTTTACATCTCACTCTCGTTCCTCTTCATCTGCATATAAATGCAATGAATTACCAATGAGCCCGAGAGCTATAAATCGAATCACACATCGTGTATACCTGTGCTTATCATTATCGTTTGGAATATTTATAAATTCGCTTCTAATAACTGCACGTGTATCGATTCATAGATGGGGGGGGGGGACAGTACAAAATCGCTCCTTTGCTGGATTTGTTTGTAAAGATGAGCGCGCTGAGAACAAAAAAACACTGATTCAGTTTTTACTTTGGTTAAAAAAAAAAAAAAAAAAAAAAAAAAAAAAAAAAATGTAGGCTAACGTCACCACACAAAGTCTCATGTATTTTTAATGAATAATCCTGCATGCAACATCAAGTACTATATATATACACTTTGAAAATTCCAAAGCGAAAAGGACGTATATACAAAAAAAAAACGAACAAAAAAGGTGTAAGTAAGGATCGTGGGTACGTTACGACCCTTACTTTTTTTTTGTTTTTGTTTTATTCGTATACATGTATGAGTACGTGATGGTAACATGAACAACGAAAAAAAAAAAGATAAAGGCGAAAGAAGAAGGGAGAGCGGAGGCGACCACCAACAACACCAACGCAGCAACAGCAGCACCGATGAGCAGGCGTTTATCGCGTTCCCAAGCCGACCCCCACGTTCCTCTTCAAGCTCTCCTCGACCGATCCGTATCTCTCGCGTGTATTACCACTGCACACACACACACACACACACACACACACACACACACAAGATCATGTGTGTATATAGTCATATTTTATTTCTTTCTCTTTTCGGACTACCCACGTGTGCACAAATATAAGTATATATGTATGTACGTACATCAAGCTTCAGCGGAGAACGACTTTACTCCCCCACACCCCCGTGTATTTAGAAAATACGCGTAGGTATAGTAGCGCCTCGTGTGGCACGAAGGAAAGCGCGCGGGGGCGCTCAGTTAGTTTGGACATCTCGGAGATTCTGCGGAAAATGCCTCGGGGTTTGAAACCCACATTTTTATTTGTTTATTTTTTTTTTCTCTCTTTCCCATGTGGTAGAATTTAAATTTCGCAAGTATATTGACGAGGTGAAAAAGTAAGGAGCTCGGGGGAAAGACAACGAGAAACTTTTTTTTCTTCTTCTTGATTCCTCAAAAATCTTCGAATGCAGTTCACAAATTTTCTCATAAATCCCAAAGAGCATGCGTAGAAGATAACAACATTTTTTTGTTCGCAGATGTGGGGTGCGAGGAATAAAAAAAAAAAAAAAAGTCTTTCAGTTCAGAGAGTCACTTTATGTGGAACTGCTCGTGTATCAAAACTAGGCATTTTTCTCACACAGCCTCCGTCTCTAATGTAACTGTGTATAATAAGTACGCTACGCGCGTCCATGCAGTGACATGCACCGATCGGACCATGTATTTTGTCCCCCACGTGCACACCCACACTCCCTATATAGATGTCTTTTTATATACTTACACGCCAATCGATAAAAATTGTTAATTCAAAAAATAAATGAGTTACGGACACTGGACGACGATTACCAGCTCAACTGAATACACGATATTGTTTATGACACGCAATAAA